CAATACACTTTCTCGGTTCTCTTGATTTGTTCCATTTCAGTGGCTTCGTACTCCTCGATTTCATCGTTTGGAGGTAAAAAACCTGAAGATTCTGTTATGATTTTTTTCCCGAGAAAATTGAGGCTTGCTTTATGCCGTTTCCTGTTCCTATTTCCCTCGGTTTACTTCACTTTCTCGCCTTTTTTTCCAGGTCCAGAAATCGGAACCAACTACGGACGATACGGATCCAATCTTGGAGGTAACAATCTTCTGATTCCGTTATGATTTCCCGAGAAAAAAAATCGATTCTTGTTCGTGTTCTTCTTCACTTTCTCGCTTTACTTTTTCTCAGGTGGTTCAGTAATCGGAATCAACTACGGTCGTTACGGATCCAATCTTCCTCCACCAGAATCCCTACCATCACTCGTAAACTCTCTCTCGATCAAACATGTCAAAACTTTCGACATGGATCCAAGAATCACCAAATCTTTCGCCAACACTGGAATCACTCTCTCCCTCTGTATCCCCAACGACAAGATCCCATCTCTATCCACAAATCTCACCGAAGCAGAATCAATCATCAGAAACTTCGTCTTACCTTACCACAAGAACACAATCATCACATCAATCTCCGTCGGAAACGAAGTCTCGTTACTCCCTCAATTCTCAACTCACTTAGTCTCAGCTATGGTAAACGTTCATCGAGCAATCAAAAGATACAGATTACACAAGAAGATCAAAGTCTCAACCACTCATTCTCTGGCGATTCTATCTCGAAGATTCCCTCCTTCGACTGCGATTTTCCATAAATCGATCAGTGAATCGGTGTTAAAACCACTGATTAGGTTTCTCCAGAGAACGAATTCTCCTCTCATGGTGAATGTTTATCCGTATTTGGCTTATAAACAATCGTTCCCTTCGATTCCTTTGGATTTCGCTTTGTTTCAGCCGATGAACAGTCTCAAACGAAGGAAATACACAGATCCGTACAGTGGAATCGCGTACACGAACCTGTTCGATATAATGCTTGATTCGGTTGACTCCGCCGTGAAATCGCTTGGGTTACCGAAGATTCCGGTGGTTGTATCGGAGATTGGATGGCCGTCGATTGGAGATCCAGGCGAAGTAGCTGCGAATTTGGAGAACGCTAGGGTTTTTAATCAACGGTTGATTGAGCATCTGAGAAGAGGATTGAGTAAGGTTCCTGTGTATATCTTTGCTTTGTTCGATGAAGATCAGAAAACTGGAGCCGCCGTTGAGAAACACTGGGGATTGTTGTACGGCAACGGATCGAGGAAATTCGATCTGAATATCTCGCCGCCGATTTGATGCGTGAAACGTCGCGAAATGGAAGAAGATGATGAAGTAGAGGCAAATCAGTCATTTTCGTATATGGGC